TACTTTAAAAAATAATAATTAATTCAAAACCAGTTTTGTTTTCTTAAATCAGAGCAGCAGCAGCATTTAAAAGTAGTCTATATATGCTGCTAGATGAACTTTAAACATACAGCTTATTTCTTAATGGAAATCAGATTGTAAACTGAAAGACTTTTATAAAGAAATGATACGTTTAACAATCATAAATCCTACCTTAAAATGGTCCATCCAAAAGTTTTCAAACTACAGAATGTGAATGACTGTCTTCGTTTTCTGCTTTCATTATTTCACTTATGCAACTACATAAAACCCTGACAGATGTTACTTTCTAAACTTAGGAACAAGGACTTTAGCGTAGGTAATTTCAAGAGTAATCAGTAACAGCACTACAAAACAGGCACCTGGTCCATAACACCGAAAAGGATGGAAAGAAGCCTCACCCTACAAATTCAGCAGTGAGAACACATACAAGAATGAAACCATCTGAAACACAAAAGCAAACTGTTAATAATAGGCAGCATAAGATATAATAAATAAAACATTTGTCCCAATTCAGACGCAACAAATGTTCTACAGCAAGTTGCTTTATGACTACCATCAAGTGACAGCAGATTTCTAACGATTTACACATCCACAGTGCCTGACACCTCTTCTGAAACGGACAGTGTGGAGTACAGGCAGCAGAGTGGGGCAAGGTGGAGTATAATTATTGCTGAAGATGATTACCAGTTACCTCAGTTGTAAACAGGGTAAACCGTGGCTTGCCACTGGTCGGTTTATCTGAGCTCAAAATATATCACGTCATGGGAAAAATTAATCTGAGTCTCTTGAGAGGAACCAGTGAAGCTAAACATGAAATAATGTCAAGTAGGCAGGAGATAAAAATTCCATCAATGAAGTGACCCTAGCTTATGCATGGTTTCCCACTGATCTTTTTATAAATGGATCTGACATGCTTTTACAAAAGCTCTATATACAAGTACCAGCATTACCCCTTCATTATAATCACACAAGCAGATTTTTCTCATTCTGATTTACATTTGTGTTTTCCTTTAAAATATATATATAAAAAAAATGTATTTATCTCTGCTGGTGTATCTTTTATTTTCCCCTTTCTTTACTGTGCCACGTGCAGCAGGGTCAAAAGCCTATGGCACACATGCCAGAAAGGTAACTAAGGCAGATTTTGATTGTCATACAGTACAGATTTACATATATGTCAGAAATGAAGCAGCTGCCAAATCACAACTCCTACTCTCTAAAATTGTATGCAAGACCTACTATTGTGCTCCAGTCAAAATTTCTGAGAGGCTCATGGTAATCACCAAGCTGGAACTCAGCGGGAGACGTGAGATAGAGCAAGACAGTGCTTGTCAGTAAGAAAGCATTTGTGAGAGCAGAAGTATTTCTTTCTCCCTTCCCTCCTGGAACTCCAAACTCAGCTAGAGGTGGGAAACATTATCGGTGTGTGAACGCTCTGATATGGGAAGGAAACACAGTTCACTAGATCATTCTTGACAGACTGTTGACCTCCAGCACGAGGACTAGAGGACAGGCCTTTTGTAGAAAATAAGTACGGCATTGATTTTTCTAATAAGACAGAGATTTTATTTTGCTTTCTGTGCTGAACTGAAACACTAAAACAAGTCCCAAATTACTCTCTCCTACAGAACACATTCAACAAAGCACTCCTCTAACTGAAAAATACTGCAGTATATTTCAGAGCTCTGCATACAGATGGATATATACAGTATAACATGCATACCCGATCTGTAAAGTGATGTGAGTAATAGTTGGCCAATCTAACATACTACTTCTGCACAAACTGCACGCAACTGGAGTAGAACAACAAATGTGTCTCTATCACAGCCTCTAAAGTAAATGTAAATGTTGAGAGTCTGCTATCATTCAGTTCATCACAAGGAACATGTTTTTGGCCTGCCAGTAACAGAATTCTCCTCCTCCACTAGCGAGCACAGTTTCACCAGGAGTTAACCAGAAACACTGTAGTAAAGTTCCAGTTTTTACCAGATTTCCCTCTGTTCCCTGTAAGAGGTAGTCATAAATTAGGTATCATATGTTCAGTACTAATAGTTCCAGCTATCGGGTTCACCTTTTAAGCTATGATAGTAAAATGACAGTTTTCAAGATTTGTTCCTCAAGTTAGCCCTCTGACGTTTTCTTTGGGAAAAAAATCGTTTACACCTCATAACCAAAGAAATCAAAGATGTCAAAGATGCTTTTAAAGCCAAGCCTCATTCAAGAAAACTGGCTGGCATTCCTTACCTTACTGGTGAGTACTGGCTAACACTATATCAATTACTACAGTACTCTATAGCATTTTGCTATCGCATTACACAGTTCAGCCACGTTATTTTGATCACCGGACAAAAAACCCCAACTGCACCTATATAAACTTACTTTCTTACAAATCCCTGGGTGCAGAGATTTTTCTAGTGATTGCCAGGTGCCCTCTTTCTCACTGAGGTACTGCAATTGGCAGTTTAGCCAAATGGTGCAGGTTGAGGCTGGATGATCAGAAAGGGGAAAGGGCTGGGGTGTTGGGAGAGCAGGCTCTTATGAAGGAGCTGTTACAATGAGCTAGGAGATAGAGCAGCATGGGACAGAGTGTTATGAAAGGTTCAAGGGAACTAGGCAGTAATGGGGAGCTGTTTAAGGCAGAGAGCTGTACCGGGGGAGTTGGATGAGGACGTAAGTAGGTAGTGGGTCAGGTCCGCAGATGTTACTACCACCTCCTACTTCTTGTATCTCAGACCATTTTATTCCCAAGATTGCAAGTGCAGAACACTGCCACCTCTAACCACCTAGGAATGTCTTACAGAAATAACGCTCAGGAATGCACACGCTTACAGAATATACTACTAAAGTGGTCAAGACACCCACAAAAATATCCAGCTTCCAGAAGTGAGCCTAAAAAAGAGAGAAACGTTAAGCAGAATGACCAAAATACAAGGAGACAATGAATCTCTAAACGTATGCGTAAACTGAAAGAATCAAGATGAAAGCTATGTATTTGATAAGAAGAATAAATAATTATGGAAAAAATAAAGTACATGTTGTTGGTATATTGGGATGGTAGCATACAAACAATGCAGAAAAAAGAAATCAGTTCTGCTTTTTCATACAGGAGAAGCAAGTGAACAATCATTAATACCCAAATAACTCTGAAGTTTAACATGTATATTATTATTGACACACAAGATAACATTGCAACAAAGCTTTTAGTAGGATTCAGAGAATAATACATAAATGCCTGCCTCTCTCTCTCTCAAATAGCTTAATTCACATTACCAACACACCAAAATGAAACTGAAAGAAGTTCTGTTCACAGACATAAATATCAGATAATAATTCATTAAAAAAAATTAGCTGTCAAGTTTTTCTGGAGCACCCAATATTACCTATTCCTAAAAACGGGCCTTAGCTTTGGTTTGGCATAGACTCTCTCCTGTTCGTTTCTTTTCATGAATCCTTTCATGCAATGTATGCCAAATGATGTGATCACCAGCAGTTACATACAGTCAGACTATGGAAGATATTTTGTGATTTCAGAATAAAAGTGATTTACTTCAGAAAAAAACCTGAGTTTGCATAAATGCTTCAGTTCAGAATAGGATTTAATTTTCTAACCCATAACAGTATAATATTTCATATTAAATACTCTATGCAATATCATCTTCCAAAATATACGTCACTGAAATATTTCTGTCATGAAAAGGCCAAGTGTAGCAAGGTATTTTTAAGGCATGAGGCCCTAGCGTCAAGATAAGGCTTGCATTTTAGAAGTTTTCCACTCCCTCCTCCGCTGTGAAACAAACATCTTCCCCACTTGTGGAAAGCAAGAGCAAAATAATGGAGGTGGTTTTGATGCAACATACAGCTGACAGATGTCCTGTGAATGGTTTCCAAGGAAAATATAACCCAACTATAACGTCAAAAAGAAAAATTTACACTATCCAAACATCCTTCTTTATTGGTAAAGGAAAAAGAAGCCATGCGGACAGATCTTACTCTGGGGACGCTTTTAAACTTTACAAACATAGTGGGTAGGTCAAATTAAGAGGACAAGTATGAAAAAAATATGACAACATTATGAAAGGAAACTTTTACTAACAACGTATACCCCAGAACTTTTGTATGGACAGATGATTCATTCCCTAGATAACAAATCCAACACTTTCTATGAGCAACATATAAAATGATCTTCATCCGTGTCTGCCATTACGACCATTTTTGAGACCACTGTTTTTCTCAGAGTGCTTAACTACCCCTCAGTGGCAAGAATTTTAGAACCCCAAATGGTGAGTTTACCTCCTGACATTGCAGAGAGTTTTTGCTACTACAACACAGTGGTTCTCAATCTTTCAAACGCAGCTGTAAGCAGTCTGGAACATCTATGCAGACAACTTCTTATAATGTTTACTGACTGCACTGATGACATTAGGATACAGAATGGGAAGAGATTCCCAACAGGATTCTCCTCTCAAATCGCCCATACAGCAAGGAGACTGGTTTCCTGCTAGGTAAAAATGTTTTTAACATTCTTTTCTAAATAAACAACAAAGCAAGAAATACCCAACTTTGTGGGGTTTTGTTTGGTTTTTTTTTTTTTAACTAAAAAACAGAAAATCAAGGCATACAGAGAACAAAAGCTGTTGAAAAAAGTGATGAATTTGAGTTTATAAAAAAACCCAACACCAAACACCTGAACAACAACCTGATGTGCTTATTATCATCACAGCAAGTGAATAGAAAGCTAAATGTCAAGCATTACTACAGATATAGGTCACCAATTTCTACTGTTAATGCCATTCAGCAGGTACCCATGGCAGGAGGTAAAGTCACCTAATCACACTTTCAGTTGCTTAAAACAAGCCAAACTGTTTCACTCTTTTGCTACTTTGCCACTGAATAAAACTGCAGCTTAGTAGAATTCATTTTAACCAAAGGAAAACAAAGACAGAAAGCAAGACAGAGGAAAAAAAAAAAAAATCACTTACCATTGTGATGAGAATTCTGTATTTATCCAGCATTGCCTGGTTGTCATGGCATCCTGCCAGCAACTGCCAAACCTCTGCCCTTAGCGCTTCTGGAACACCGCTTTTCACCAGGGTAGATAATCCGTTTGGTCTCACAACAAGATTATTGTGCCTGAGAAACAGACAATCATTTGCCTATTATACTTCAACTACAGGAGTAGAAATCAAGATTAAAAAAAATATAAAAAGTTTTTCAACTTTCCAATGTTATTCTGAAAAGTAGAGTCAGCAACTAGCAACATAAAGTTTTCTTCCACTGGTTACACTAATTAGTATTTGTCAGATGGAAAGCAAAAATTCTGCAAGGATTTGCAGTAAGAACCATGGCAAAATGTAGTGATATCCAAATTCTCTAGGTTTGGAGAAATTAATGAAAATTAGAACAATAAACAATTGCACAAATTGAACTAAACTGGCTAATGAAGAAAAATTTCAATTGAAAGAGAAAACTATGCCATCTGTGCAGATAATTCAATTTAAATATTTCTTCAACATCTACATTTAGCTTAGGTTAAGAAAAAGGAAATTAAAAGTAACCTAAGCTATATAGAGAAATAAATTTTGGAAAACAAATAAAAGCCAGTTTTAAGAGTACTAACATGATGGCTGAAGTTCCAGTTTTACACTTAATGCCAAGAGTATGTTGCAAGTCCCACAAAGCAGTAACACTTGCACATAACCTTGGTAAAATCCCACCATTCCAAATAAATCTGCCTGTTAGTTTGAGCTGGTGTTTTACTGTTTGTACACACACCAAGAAATGTAGGAAGACAACTGCAGGATGACTTTTTTTATTTTCCAACACCGCATAATTAATCCTACAAAAGTTGGTATATAGAACTATGAACAGGCCGTATTCAGAAAGGCTGAATACTAAAGATACGTTTTTCAAAAATAATCTAGTCACTGAATCCATACATTTAGCATAAAATCACTACACATGCACAATATTGCAGAGCTTTCAGTTACAGATATTTAAAAATCCTTTTTGAGATAATAGTGTTTACTGATCTAGATTAAACATTGCTTTGACTTATTGTGGCAATTTTCATAGCAATGCAGCAGGAAGACTGCATGAATTGACTCTTTAGTCTTTCTAATGTAGGAAGTGCTTTGCTCTCTTATTTTTTTGACCACTGTTATGTTTTTCAACTCTACTGGTAGGAGAATAGTGAAAGCAACAGTTTAGCCAAACGCTAGCAAGCTGCGATTAAATTAAATAACCTGCAGTTTGACCCTTGATTTTAAGTAAATGTTTAGAGTGCTTATTCTTTGAAACAGGTCATTAAGATGTGAACAGTTTACCACTACTGTTTAAATTTAAAAGGTGCTCTAAATAAATTTTTTTCCTATACTTAGAGGATGATATCCCCATTTTTCCAAATGACTTGAGAATTAAAAAAAGAGTGTGATTATATAATGCCCTGATTCTTTTAAGCACAATAATTATTTGAAATTTTAAATGTGTAGTGCAACACAAGTAATTTCAAACTTTATCATTCAGTTAGTCAAATTAAAACCCAACTAGTCCCTTTTCTCTTTTTCAGTACATTTTGCAGCAAGTCACACTAGACTAATGGTCTTGTGATGGGAAAAAGCTAGAAAGAAAAAACAATATCCACAGAAATATTGAAAGGACTAACCACTCTAAGTGGTTACAAAATTATGAAATGTACATTCAGGAATAAATAAATAAAATACACCAGAAACTTAAAGCTCAAGTTGTGTGAAAATGACGCATTCACAGCACACTTCAGATTAGTTTGGTTATTTCATGGATTTGGTCATATGTATTCTATGTGAAACACAGAGGGCCTTCTCGGAGGACTCAGCGAGCAGATAAAATAAAATGAACAGCTAAAAAGGTACATTCCCATATAAACATAACAGGGAATTTTTCAGTGACACCAAGAAAACAATACAAATCGCTTATGGCAACAACTAACAGAAATGCACATTCCATGCTGTAATACCATCCTTACTACTAAACATTCACAACTGAGAATTAAGCATCCTATAGTGCACCAGATTTTACTGGATTTGTCATGTATTTAGATAGTTTTACAGTAGAGGTAATACTTTAGCAGCATTAGTCCATGCAGTAAAGCATAACTAACTTTAATAGACAACTTCTCAGTTTCTGAATGTCTGTTTGGGAAACAGCTTGATCATTAATAATCCTTCCTCTGTATTCTACAATAATGAACAAATACAGATTTTTCCCTCCTTTGTGTAGAGGCCCAGGCACCTTACATTCCTAGAAACTTTCTGACACCTGCTTGACCATAATATAACAGAAACGAGCATAAAATAAAAGCTTGTCTTATTCTAGTCTTATCCTCTAGCATGTGGGAAAAAATGGGTCATTCATGGATGCTGACATCTTTAATTTGTTACAAAGTGCTGTAATTCTCCTGCGCAAAATTTTAAAACATCCAAGAGCAGGGATACAGAACAGCGATGCATAGACTATGCTCCAACTTGACAAACAAATATTTCTGAGTAAGGACTGTTATTGACCATTACTACTTTAAAAAACAAACAAAAAAAAAAAAAACCCAAAAAACAACACATGAGAAATAGTTAAGTACTCAGCTAAGCTAGCTCAGCTTGCAAGAACAACTTTAACGCTAAGCATGCAGTAAATAGTAAAATAAATTAAAAGATACTCCATTATTTCCAACAGTTTGTTGTATCTTTTGGGTAAATTCTCTTAAGTCCTGTTTATATGTTTGAAGGAAACTCTTGGAACAATGTTTTTGCCGAGTCAGTCCGTTAGGTTACAGTGACATTTTAATGAAATGACAAGAAGCAATTAAAATGCAAGAAATTTTTCATCTAAGAGACAAATCAGCACACCAGTTCTCCAAGTGGAAATGTTAATTTTTATTTATTTACTTCTTTTACAAGTGCACAGATATTCCACTAGCATATGCTGCAGTTTTGAACACACTAGAAGATTTTATTTCAATCTATTTTTAGTTTTCAAATTGTTAACATTTTTCATCTGTTACTCTTTCCAAATTTTGTTCTTAAAAATGTAACATAACACTATTCAAGAATTCAAGTATGTTATACACTTGAATTTATCTCAAAAGGTAATATTGCTTGAGACACTCCTAAAGTAAATGTTTGCTACTGCTAGTCTTCAAGCTGGCTGTGATCTCCCATTTCTCATCCCATTTTTAACTCATTTTAACTAAAGTGTTTTAACTACTAAATGATTCTCTGGGTTAAGTGTATATGTTTATCTTAGAACTTCAAAACAGTTTACTCCAGAAGTCTTAAACATTTTGTCACATTGAATAGTATACTTGAGCAACTTGAAGAAATAGTTGGTTATGTGAAACTTGAGAGAATGAGCTGTGGGTGGTTCTTTATTTCAGCATGCTTACCCACAGGAGTCCAGATATTTGTCAAGGGCATAAGTTAAAACTAAAAGAATCAACTGATAGATTAATTTAAATAAATAAATAAAAATTTAAAAAGTAGCATCTTCCAATGCAAATGCAATGCAGATTGAAACAAACCTGCCACACAGTTCTTTATGGACTCAGGATGGCTTTCCCCATTGGCCTTGGGGTGCCAGATACAAAATTGCAAACAATTTATAAACTCTCTCTTGGGATGTCCTTTAGAACAGGCTTTGGAAAGTTCTAAACAGCCCCAGAGAGGATCAGTTTACAGCCTTTTCAGGTGAGGAAAACACGCTTGTCTATAGGGATCAACTGACTTCCCCACTTTTCCTCACTATTGTCTTAATCATTCAGAGGGTCCATAGCCAGAATATTTGCACAATCATTCCATTAAATATTTGTGCTTCCCCAAAAAGATCTTTCATTAACGCCAGAAACTTGGATGACAAAACAGTTAAAAACAAGCAGGAGGGAAGGGTTCCCTTAAGCTCAATAAAATCTTGTGATGTCTCATTTAGTAACATTTGCATGAGATCTCCATTAAAGATGAGGTCAGCAGCAAGAGGCTGTGTTTCTCCAAAACTACAAGGTGGCCAAGTAAAGGGGGGAATTGCCCAAATAAATCCTTAAAATGTTTTTCAGCTCTCTTTTTGGAGTTAGGAAGACGAAACTTTGCCAATTCCAGATTAAGGGCCTCTAATTATTTTTGTCTCGGGCAGCAGGAGCTATTACTTAAAAAGGGAAAACCAAGTAAGTGGTTCCGGCATTTGCTAATAGTATAAGGTCTCTCAGAGGTAGCAAATACACAGACATTTTCCTCTCTTGGCAAAGTATATGCTGCTACTGAAGCACTTAATTAAACCACAGAAGTAACACTGTTGAGAACATGCTCTAGGCTTACAAATATTCTTCATCTTACTCTCCAACAAACAGTTTAAGTGAGGATCACAGTCTTTCTAGAATCCCTTTTCAAGTGCTTACATGTAGCACAAAAAAAAAAAAGCCTCTAAACAAATCAGTCAATTAAATGTACATCAGCTAGCACAAATGACTTAAGACAGGACAGACTGGAGTTGCTCTGTCTTTTCTATGCTAGCACTGAGAGGCACCAAGTTTCATGAGAGCTTAACATCCAGCCCCAAGGAACACAGGTGGCCAGAAAGTTCTGCATTTGAAGACTCACACCTGCAGTGTGAGCATACACGGACGTATTCTCAAACACTGAGCAAAACAAGACTTTTGCAGATGCTGTGGGAGAGATTTGTCAAATAACTGCAAGTTAAAATAAGAGGATTTACCAGTCCTTTTAAAACTAGGTTTAAAATACAGACTTCAATGTGTTTTGTATTTTAAACTGTGTAAGCTGAAGAATTTCAAACCTCCTGCACAAGAGCATATAGTGTCACAAAACAAAGAAAAGGTTACTATTTAAAATCTAAATTTAAGAAATGAAGCATTACCATCTCCCCAGTAATTCTCCCCAGGAATATAAAATCTTCTCAGGACAATCCTTTGACACATCACCAGTACCACTGGAGAGTTCATTATCACTCTCTGGAAAAAAAAAAAAAAGAAAGAAGACAGACAAAACAAGAAAACAAAAGCATGCACAGATTTACTGAAGAGAACAGATATTAAAGATGCATACATATAAGTCTCAGAAAATTCTTCTCACACATCAGTTTTAAAACCACAAAAAGACACAGAAAATATTAGTGGAACCATAAAGAATGTTTAGCAGACTTGACAAAACAAGTGTATTAATAAAGTTACCATAAAGTTTAAGAGAACAAGACTAGGGAATAATTCACAGCACTGCCACAGGAAAAAGGGCTGGGATCTGGAAAAGCATTATGTGAGAAAAGATTCAAGGCTGTCAACTATCCATTTAATGAAATTTCACAACGCAGTATTATCTAAAAGTCACATCCACTCCAGACTTCACATAAAGAGAACTCTCTTTTAAAGCATAGTAGATAACACTACTTCATTACATTGCATCCCTCAGGCACCATTCTGCTCTCATGTGGTGCTCTGATCTCAAGAAGCCTACTCAGAGTCACAAAATAATTTTTTTTACTAAAACAAGTTCATGGAAGAGCAGCAAAAACAACACTGTGACATTAGAGGTCATATTGCATGGAACAGACAAGAATGCTTCAAATGGAAAAGAAACCTCCTAAGTATTAAGAAAACACTTATGGAGGGATGTATGTCATTATATGACTAATACACAAAACTAGAAGGGACAATGTGAGCTTGGGGTAGTGTGCTCCAATAACCATCCAATCCAAGTAACAATCCAATTTCCAAGTGTCTTAGGGGTCTATGCAGATGTCCACAGTAAGTTGAACAGTCTAACTCTTTAGAGCAGCTCCTCAGATGAACATGGTTTTGCAGTTATTTGAACTTTTCCCAGTTTTATCTGAATAAAATACTGCTAAAAATTAAACATGAGTACAATTTCAACAACACCAAATGTTGAGAGAGCTCCAATTCTCAGCACCTTTACTATGAAACACAACCTAAAATGAGACACTGCAACAACCCCATTATCCTCAGAGGCCTCTGAAGCTATGGAGAGTTTCGATGTTAGAAGGTCTGTTGAGGTTGCTCTTTCCTGTGAACTGAGCTGTCTCAAGAAGCTAAAATAAAACAAAAAAGGAGGACCAAAGCTACATCTGCTCCCAAAATCCCTTAGATACTCTCTTCAACACAGCTCAGTCACATCTGGTTACTGACCTAATATCTTTAATTCCTCAGGTACGTTAAACACTTCACATCCAACTTTATGTAGACAACAGTAGTAGTTCAGGTAGAGGAGGATTTTCAGTACTTGTACAATTATCCTCTTAAGTCTTCATCCTTGTCATTCTCACTTCAATTAAACGTTTCTAATTTATAGTCTCAGCAATTGTCAAATACAAGTCATTAATAAAAGAAAACATCAATGCTTGAAATTGACAACAAACTGTGAGGACAAAGATAGCATATACTGTATCTCAAGGACAACTAACAGCAAAAATGCTGCCCTGAGAGAAGAGAGAAGCATATCAGAAATCTCTTAGTGTTTCACATTGAACATTAGATTAGTGAACCCTTTAGCTTGGAACCCGTTTGTACAGCTTTACAGGCCCCAAAATACAAAGCCAACCTGCATTTAAATACTTCCCCTTCAAATTTAAAAACAAACAGACAAACAAACAAAAACCCCCAAAATACCCACGCTCATCATAAACCTACAGGAAACTTTTTTTTAAGCTTTCCCAATCTTTTGCATACATTCACTAGATCTAAAGATGCAAATATGAACATCTAAAAACATCAAATTTATCATTTTAACTAAAATTTGATATCACTATAGGATTCCCAGTAACCAAAGGAATCCATTAAGTTCCAGTGGAAGAAATGTATTTGAAGACTCAACTTTCCTTTCATATTAAAATTGCCAAAAATACTGTAAAGGCAAATCTCCTCACTTACTACCCAGGCCTGGTAATAACTAAAAAACAAAAAATAATTTAAAGCAATTAAATGCATTACATTTTTTAAATTCAATCCTCTCCTGATTTGCCTAACTGGATCAAAGAGATCAATTATAAATGCAGCCCTTCTACTTCCCATGGAAACAAGGAAAAAAAATTTTGAGGAAACGTTTTCTAGGTTGAGTACATTGGCCATTCAGAGACACAAGGTACGTATTAATGGTACTGGTACATATTATGAATCTCAAGAAACCTGGCTCACACCAGAAATTTATCATAAACCACAATTTCAGAAAGGTTTCACACATTCAAGGTAAAGGAAGACAATTTGGCACAAAATTCTGAAAGGAGAGATTTTAATTACTTTGAAGAGACTGAAGAACTACAGTGTATCTCTACAAGAGCTACTGGTGAAAATATACACAAACAAATCTTGCAGTCTGAAAAAAAATCTGATAAAGATGAATAAAACAAATCCCCAACCAGACCAAAACTTCATTTAAAAATGGAGTTACGCTGAATACTTCCAGGAACAAAGCACACTAGCTGTTATCTGATCCAAACCTGAGCTTGCCAAGGAATACTAACATCAGACAAAAAGAAACAAACCCCTTCTTTTCTCACCCAAAGTTCTTCAGGAGATTAGTGTTACATAGCATATGTATTCCAGCAAGATATATCACAAAGCTACAGTGCTTCAGCCCTGAAAATTCTTTCATCTGGAAGGCTTAACAGTATTTGGAATGTATTATTCAGTTATATGTCAGAAAATTACAGGCCTTAATTAGAAATGCCATATGTTCCCTTTCAAAAGACGTTAATGTCAAACTTCAAAATAGAACAGGGCAAAGGAAAGAGAATAAACAGCTTTAAAAATCCCTACTTTGTTTCCACTTTAAAGACTATTTACATCTTCTAACCTGTGTAAGCACGTAGGTATAAATTAAGGGGAAAAAGAAAAAAGAAGAGGTCGTGGGAGGGATATTTAACTGTAGATGTTCAAGGTGTGCTTTTATACAATTTTTTTCCACATTCTATAGCATCTATAAGCCAGCAGCATTAGCCAGAGCATTATCCACCCTTATTCTGCAGGGAATGCCACAGAACCCTTCCTCTAAATGTATTGTGTACTTCTCCCTTCCTCCTTTATTTGCCCTCACCTCTCAGAGCCTCTCAACTGGACAACAAAACTTATGCCTCACCAGAATGGGAGATGTCTCAAGGGAACAAACCTGAGGAGCTGGGTTGTAAATGTGCATACACACAAACAGACTTTAAGAATACTTACAGATAACAGTAAGGCTCTTGGGGTTTTTTGTTTATTTGTTTCTTTTTACCTGCAATGTGATGCACAAAATTCACAAAAAACTCACTTTGTGGATGTCCCATGAACCAATTCCCTAAATTCAGAGCCTCTGTTTAAAGCAGGCCTGAAGGATCACACTTCCACAGCAAGCATCGCTCTGCATGGCTTCAGCATGGAATCACAGAATACTTTGGGCTGGAAGAGACCTCTGGAGATCAGCTAGTCTGACCTCCTACTCCAAGCAGCGCTTGTTAGATCAGGTCAGGACCTGAATGGGAGGGTAAAGTCTTGAACACATTCAAGAAAGGAGATCGCAGAATCTCTCTAAATAACCTGTTCCACTACTTGACCATGTTTATGGTTTAAAAACAAACCAACCAACCCACCAAAAACATCCTTTTATCTATCCAGAATTTCCCAGGTTCCAACTTCTGTCTGGTATCTGTTGCCTCTCAGCCTGTTATTGTGCACCTCTGAGAAAAGAGTCTGGCTCCATCTTCTCCGAGTCCTCTGATGCAGTAGTTGCAGACAGCAATAAAGATTCCTCTGAGCTTTTTCTTTTCCAGGCTGCACAAACTCAGTTCTGTCGGCCTCTCGTTGTGCGTCATGTGCTCCCGCCATCTGACCAGTTTGGTGGCCTCCACTGGACTTGCTCCAGTGTGTCAATGTCTGTCTTGTACCGGGGAGCCCAAGACTGGACCCAGTACCCAAACGCAGTCTCACAGGTGCTGAATAGAGGGGATGGATCTCTTCCCTGGACCTGCTGGCTAGACTCCTGCTAATACAGCCTAGGGCGTGCTTGGCCTTCTTTGCTGCGAGGGTACACTGCTGACTCGTTTTCAACTTGTTGCCTGCTAGGATCTTCAGGTACTTTTCTGCAAAAGTCACTTTGTATCTGGTTAGTGTCCAGCCTGTCTTGTCACGTGGGGTTATTCTATCCTGGATACAGGACTTTGCACTGGCCTTTGTTGAACTTCATGAGGCTCCTGCCAGTGCATTTCTCCAGCCTATCCAAGTCCCTCTGAGTAGAAGCCCTGCCCTCCAGCATTATCAACCACTCCCCCCAGTTTGCTGTTGTTCACAAACCTGCTGAGGGTGTACTCGGTCCCATCATGCAGGTGATTAATAAAAACATCTAACAGCACTGATCCCAATACTGATCCCTAAAAGATACCACTACTTACTGACAGCAGGACTTTGCACCATTGAGTCTTTCATCCCAGCAGACCAGCCAAGCTTCCAACCACATTATTTTTCACTTATCCAGTCCCTGTCTCATTGATTTAATGATAAGGACACTATGGGATACAGTGTTGGAGTCCCTGTTAAAACCAAGGTATACAGCATCCACTGCCCGTCCCTTGTCCACAGCACTGGTTACCTTGTCACAGTAAGCAATGAGGTTGGTCACAATGATTTGCCCTTCATAAATCTATGCTGGCTGTTCCCAGTGACTGTGTTTGTCCTTCATGTTTAGAAACTACTTTCAGGAGTATATGCTCCACAACTGGTCCCACGGACTGAGGCTAGGCTGACCTGGGTCTTCCTTCTGGCCAAATGACATTTGCTTTTCTTCTTTTGGACATTTTCTATTTGCATGAGATAAATATGGAAGCCTGAACAGATACCACTCAGGTATATATATATATTTATATATACCACTCATTACATAAATTATTCATTATATGAGCAGACTCTTCAGAATAGGGCACAGAGAGTTGTATTTTAAGTGGCCCAGCACTAACGTTTATTATGTGACAATA